GCACGCAAGTTCAACCGCGACAACTATCGTGATCTTGATGCCTTTTTGAAGTGGAACAGAACACGGCAGTTTTCTGAATAGTCTTTCGCTCATTGATGATATTTGAAGTAAGTGTTTTAGGGATGGATAAGTATGCGTTGAGTCATGGAGATATATTTTATTCTTGATTTGTTGTCACTGCACTGTTGTATATCTAAATATTCATGTGCCTTTGTAGATGTTATATGGTTCGATAAAATTCTTCCTTAAACTCGCATCTTTTCTGACAGACGTATTCACTGATATGCCGAATACACAACACATCATTGGGAATGAGCTGTTTCGATTTCAATAAGCGAGCCTCGTACGAATGACATCCGCTATATGCAATCTGAACAAAACATTTCTATCTAGAGCATTTCCGGATTGATGCTAATTGATGCCCTGTCCGCGCTATGATGGGTTTGGTTTGGAGTGTACCATTTCAAAACCTAATATATAACATTCCATGCATATGTCCAGTCGTACATATCGATCACGTATTTTGATCGCGTGAACATTCTGATGTAGAGTGCAACTAACGTGTTGTTTTTGTGATACTGTGGACAAACGTTAGATGCACTCATTAGTTGTGAACGGATTTTGAAGTTGGAGAAGTAGTACCTCAATTACCCGGAAACGCCCGAATTCGTACTGCTTGATGCGTTCTCGCTCATTGTTAATGAATACAAAGAAAATGATAATAATGAGAAATGCTCTTTCGGCAGGGCGATTTGTGTGCATTTAATTATCTGAGTTCGATTCTGTGTACCTCTGCATGACAACGTGCTAATTATTACGGTGATGCGAGGCTACAATCACGAGCGACAAACAAATTACTGATCGACTTCCAAGATTGTTCTACTCACATTAAAGCCGATCTTATCTCAAAATTGATNATATACCAAAACTACATGCGTAGCAAAATTATAGGAGGAAGATGTATGTGCAAGTGTATGTTCACTAATTGTTAGATCTTCTTCCACCGACCAGAACTCATGATTGAAAACTCTTTTGCAAAATCAGAGCAAAGAATCGAAATCGGTTGGCCGTTCTCATAAAAGGAGATGAACTTGCTTTATCTCGAAAATCTGCTAAATGTTTAAACCATATTTTAGTTGATCGGATCGGCGTTCCGGTTCAGTAAATAGGTACTATTTCTCTATGGCTTGCCGACGTAAGAGATGTTCAGGAAATGCAAATTAGAACATATTCTAAGGCACTGATCAAACTGGCCCACGAACATCAACTGATTCACAGAACTATGAACATCACACAATGGTCGAAAATCTTGATGTTGGAAAAAAACAGGCATTCCTTTGCCGAAGAAAAGAAGCGAGTTAGCGGCAGTCTGAAAAAAGCAGCTCGCTAAAACAATAATGTAAGAAAATAGTGTAAGTTATCGCTGCTTCATGCTGCTAAAAGTCATTGCAGCAGATGTTTTCGTTACAAATTTCTGCTATTCATTGAAAAGTTGTGAGCCATAGCGCCAACGAAAAAAGTAGCTCTTCTACTGGTGGAACAGCGGCTGCTGGTGCGTTATTGCACATTATTGCCTCTATGATCAGCTAAATAAATTGTTTCTAATTAATCATAAACCCATTGCTGAAAAAANGATTCAAAAATCGTCACGATTTTGCAAGCACTAATAACATCCCACTTGATGTGTAGATGAGCTAGAGTTGCTCCTCGAAATGTAAGCAAAGTAAACACAACATTTCAATTACCCGGAACCGCCCGAATTCGTACTGCTTGATGCATTCTCGCTCATTGTTAATGAATGCAAAGAAAATGATAATAATGAGAAATGCTCTTTCGGCAGGGCGATTTGTGTGCATTTAATTAACTGAGTTCGATTTTGTGTACCTTTACTTATACGAGTTCGATCCTGCGTGCATTAAATTATCATTCAATAGCTAATTCTGATCAACCTGAACACCATTTAACTGATGATTTTGTTTGGCCATCAGTACTCGAACAAACTCTATTATTCTACCATATTTGACTGGTGTCACTTCATCAAATTCACAAAAAGTGGTCCCGTCGAGGTGGTCTCTTCAAATGATAAAAAAGTGAAATATGACGGCGCTGCAGTGATATAATTTCAGTGAATGAACTGCTTTCTGAGAGCATCACCAAACAGGATTCTCGCTCATAAATAACGAGCACAATTCATTTAAACATATCCAGTGTTACGCATCTCATAGCGAAACTTTTCTCACCTAGAATCATCAGTCAAATACTAGCGAAAGTAATTTATTATCTCATTGCAGTGATTAATCCATCTGTTAAATAAATGCGTTCTCATAAATTAATCACAGCTTATCACAGCGATTGACCGGTTCTTACCTGCATGACGATTCATTAGCGATGAAGAATTTCAATGCCATTGGAAACAAAGCAATTAACTTACAAGGCCTGATATAATATTGAGGACATAAAAAGTGCAATGAATTGCAACGACATTGGAAGGAGATCAAATGATTGTGAGCAGCGGAAACGACTACGAATATTAATAGAGAATTTCTGAAGTGTGCATTTGAAAGAGGAAACTGATTTTTTTTNTTTTTTTTCAACTCACTTCCTGAACTGTTTCATAGAAATGAATGGTTATTGCTAATCAGCAATAAATGCTGATGGATAACAGAATAGGTTGCAGTGAACGAGTCGTCTTTATCCAACTTTGTTGTATCGTTGAACTTCCAGAATAAGCTGAATGAATGCGTAATATAATGTAACTTCCAGAATAATAATGTGTAATAAGTTGGCATTTTAAGTTAATCGAGTGAAATTTTCAGTAAAATTGGGGGCATAGTTGTATGTCGTGCGTAGACCACCACTTACGCACTCTTGCGACCAGATCCTTGATCCAATTGTGTATATAAAACTAAATAAACGCATATCTCTCTCATTTTGAAAATCTTTTTGGGTGTTCGACGGGGATGGGTGGATCAATCGGTCATAATCGCTGTGGTGTTGCTCTTATCGTGATCATTTTTGTTTGCATAGGTAAGATTATCTGTTTTCTGTTTATTTTCAGCTCTTCACAGGATTGCATCCAAACTGAATGCTTCAAGGGCAATATCTATGAAATTCTATAAGATTCTCCTCGGTTCATTGTTCA